GGGTCCTTTTTTATATAGGAAAACAAAACAAGACAAAGAAAAAAAATGTAGACATCTCTGTGAAGCCCAGCTCAAGGCCAGAGGCCTTGTTTGCACATTTCTACAAAGTACTATACTGGATATGTTTGTGAAAAACTAGTAAGGGGTGTCCAGCACCTGGAGTGCTGGTATCTTCTCGGCCAGTGGCCAAGTAAACAGGGTGACATGAAAATAGGAAGTTTATCTACATTGGACTCTTTTTCAGAGACTCTTTTGCTGACAATCCTAAAACTAGTCTGGGTGAAGATTTCTGGAGAAGCCCAGTTAAGTCTTTTCTGTGGAGAAAGGGGGTGCCACTTCAAAACCACGCCCTGGAGCATCTTGGAGATCCCCTAAGCCAAAGGCCCCTGCAGCAAAGTAGCAGAAAGAGGGGTACTGGGGGGGGACTGAAGAATGTGTACCCCTTTCCCCACCCCATGCCAGTCCCCTGCTACAATCCACGATTGTGGTCAACCCTGCCGGGGCCAAACCACCATCAGACAGGCCAATTCTCTCATTCCATAGACTGAGGCCCAGAGAGGTCAAGGGATGTATTTGAGGTACACAGCCAATTTTGGAGAGAGGCTGAAACTCAAATTCATTTCTCCTGATGGCTATACCTGGGCCTTTCCACCCAACCTCTCCACTTTTCTTTTTGAGGTAAGATCCAAAATGCCTGGAGACTTCCACAAAGGCTGAGGAAAACAGGCTCCCACGAGTCTGCAAATGCATGTAAGAGAAGCAAAGAGAAGATCAATGGCCACTGTGAACGTTCGTGTGGAAATCCGGCAGTGTGACCTGTAGAGCCAGGAGAGAAGTCCAACTCAGTGTTGAGGAAACAAGAGTTAATTTTTTCACAATACTCAGCAGAGTTGAAAAACAGTGTGTTCCAAAACAAGTAAGTTCTGTTGACTGAGCAAACATATTTTTATTCCTTTCATTGTTCTGGACCTCACTGTTAAAGACTTTTTAAAAAATTAAAAAAAAAAAAGTTACTCACATTGCTAAAAATCTATAGGTTCCAACATAATGAAAGAGAGTTTTTTTTTTTTTAAATGTTCAAAGCCAAAAGTTTCTCTGCCATGGATGGGGGACTCCCTGAGGTCTGAAGACAGGGCCCCATTTGCCAAGGAACCCTTTTCCATGAGGCTCCAGAAAGCAGGCTTCCCTGACAGCTTGGCCTTTCCCAGAGCTGGGGCGGGGCCAGGGGCCCACTGCAAGCTCAAAGGCAGGCCGGTCTCCAGGTCCCCAGGGACGAGGTCAGTCCTCTGTCTAACTTGGCAAAGCGGTGGCAGTTCAAGGACAGCGGGGGCTCAGTAAATTCCAGGGCTCCTGAGCCTTGAGGCTTTGCAGTGGGGGGAAGGGGGTCTGAGAAGTGCTTGAAGGGCTTTGGGTTCCAACCCCAAGAAGGAGACAGGCTCCAGGACTAAGTAACCTTGGAGTGACCTTGAAGGAGGTAGACTACACTTGAAGACCTCTATCCCTTCGGCCGCCCTGGTGGCACTGGGAGAAGGCACAGCTGTCACACACCGAGCAGATACGTCCAGAGCGGCGATGCCCTTCCATTTTTGCCCCACTCCTTCTAGCATTGTGGGTGCCAGCGTTCCAGGGGTTTAGTCTGTGCCAACTGGAGTGCCCCTCCCTGAGCCAGGTGTAAGTCCCACCTCCATCCTCCTCCTCTCTCCCATCTCTGCTCACAGCTCAGCCCATCTGCTCTCCATCCTTCCCTGGTGGGTCCTCTCACCCACCAGGGACTTGATCTGCCCCTTCCTTTCTGATCCTTTGCCTCTTGGCACTGTCCCCCCCAGGTGTCCCCGCCTCTACTCTCCCTCCTTCCCCACACCTGCGGCCAGCACCTCTCAGACTCCTCTGCTCTCCCTGCCTGGAGGCTCATCTTCCACTCCCATCCCCCCCCCCCCCAGGCTGTCAGACCCCACTCCTCCCCTGCAGGCCCAGCCGGGCAGGTGGCAGCGATGACCTTTCCCCAGCCAGCCAGCCTCCCTGGGCGGGAACAAGCCCAGGGCCCAGAGGAAAGGCCAGCCTGTTTTTCAAATCGCAGGTCAGTACCCATGAGGGGGTCTGAAAATCATGTTAGTGGATCTCAACCAGCATCAAAAAGAGAAGAACAGAACAGAAAAGAATGGAGGCCATCAGCCCTCGCAAGAAGTGTTGTTTTTCCAATCCTTCTGCTTGGGTGGGTTCTGTGTGTGGGTTCTAGTCTCAGGGAGGTGGCTGAGGAAATTTGCATGTTGTGTAGGCTCAGAGGCCCCCCCTTTCTCAGAGCTCCCAGGGCCCCTACAGTGGACTCCAGGCTGTCCTGGTGGTCGGAGGCCGGGGGGGGGGGGGGGGGGGGGGGGGGGGGGGGGGGGGGCGGTTACCAAGGAAGGTGAGTGGAGAGGCCAAGAAGCACACCCAGATCGCTGACTCAATTTGCATACAAATGAAAGACTGAAATCTTAATTAAGGATCATAAAGATCAAAAGACAATTTTTAGAGAGATAGGATCTTCCCAGGAATTTTCCATACAACTCCAGCTGCTGCTTCTCCAGTCTATGAAAACGAGGCTCCAAGGACATGCCCAGGGGAAGTGGGGTCCAGCCTCAGTGTGCAAATCTTCCATCCTTCTGCAGTCAGATCATCAGATGCTAGGACTTAACACTCGACAGAACACGAGGCTTGTCCCTGGAATGGAGCTGGTCGAGTTCCAACCTGTCCCCCACACCTGCGGCTCGGGCTCGGATGGCCAATCGTGGAGTTACTGGCAGTAGAAGGTGAGCACGTTTTCCTGGTTTCCCCGGATCAGGACGACGGGAGGCCTGAGATCCTGGGACAGGGTCTCCAGCCAGGCCATGTACAGCGAGCTGGGGCACTTCCCCTTCCTTCCTATGGGCAAGGTGCTGCAAGGCAGGAAGAGGGCAGGAGAGGAATCACCCAGGGTTTACCCACCCTGAGAAAGACCTTCCTGCCACCCTGCAGGGCATTACTCAAAATATATCTTCAGCCATGAGGCATTTCTAAACAAAACCATGGCCTGCATGTCCCCTGCGGGGAATGCTCCATAGTCCCCACCAAGCTTCACAATCTCACTTTCTCCCTTCCTCAGCCTCACACATACCTCTTTAGCCACAGAGGCTTTCTTTCCTTCCTAAAATTAACCAAGTGTGCTCCTGCTTCAGGGCCTTTGCACATGATCCACCTAGAAGGCAGAGCCCCAGCTGTTCACCAGGCTGGCTCCTTGAACCACTCAGCTCTCTGCTTACATGCATCTCCTCTGGTCATCCTCCCCAAAGGAGGCCACCCATCCTCTTCATCCTCTTACCCTACTTTATTGTCTTCGTAGACTTTTGCAATCTCAAAAGCATCTGTGGATGTATTGATTTGTTGTCTGGACTGTGTGTTGGTCTGCAGGCAGGCTGGGTCTGTCCTGTTCTCTGCCCTTTCCCCTGTTCTCGAACACGGTCTGATACAATTAGGCCAGTGTGTGTTTGCTAAGTGAGAGGTCCCAACCCATCTGCCACTCACATCAGGCCAGGCTTGCTTTCAGCCACATGCCTGCCAGTGGCCACCCAGTGTGTCATGTTTGTGGGCTGCAGCAGAGTGTCCTTGCCCTGCCCCCACCCTGCTAAGTCCTGGGAGCGGATCCCACCGCTGCCTCTGGAGGCCCTTATCTGTGTTGTGCTGAGCAGATACCCAGATGTCCCCTGGAACGCTGTTCAGTCATGCTTTTGTGGCTATTTCAGGAAGTGACTTTTCTTTCATCTTGAGAATTCCAAAAATGCTTTGGGATGGCCACCACAGCTGGGTGCGTGGCTCTGGCAGAGACCCAGCTGGCCACCACATGCGGCTGGCCACCCATCCTTACCCGGGACTGCCCTTGGCAGGTGTCTGTTCTCCCTAAAGTCTATTCACTGGTTGATCATTTCATCAACCTGGACACAGCCCTGAGCACGGGCCTGGCCTGCAGCACTGACCCCCTGGCTGGGGCAGCAGCAGGCAGGCAGCGCGGAGCAGTGTGGGGACCAGAGCTCAGGCTCTGGGCTCAGAGAAACTGCCAGTCACAGCTTTGGCAAAGTGCTTGACATCCTTGGGGACACAGGTTGGGCCCTCCAGGAGAAGCTCACAGGCTGGGGAGCCGCACCTGGCGCAGTGGAAGCAATCCGCACATCAGCAGCTGCTGTCCCCACTTACGATTGACCTGGCAGAGCAGGGCCTCAGCCAGGGCCTTGGGATCATCCCAGCTGCTGACTCTGATCACCGCAACCCCCACACCCCCCTGAGCAGGCTGAGGGGACGGCTAGAAATCCAGAGAGCTGCTGCCTCATACTTAGAGCCTCATCAAAGCCTTGCTAAGGACAAGGCCACCCTCCTTTAAAAAGCAAGGCCCCAAGGACTGGAGTAGTGGTGGGAGCAAGGGCACCTCACTAAGCCACTGCCATCCTCCTTTGACTTTCCAGGAAAAAGACCCAGGAGAATGTAAAACCAGGCTCTCCAGATCGAACGGATGTGCCCGAAACCACAAAGGGGCTGTCCAGAAACGTCACATTGTTTTCAGGGAACAAACTCACAAACTTCAATGCCCATGAGGGAACTGGTCCCTGCAAGGTGAGGGGCAGCGGACACCCATGACTCCCGCGGTTCCTTTCAAGCTTCAGAACAAGGTTCCTTTCCATAGGGGACTGTCCAACTGTCCAAGGGACAGATGCCTTTACCACTCCCAGCACCAATCAATGACACCCTTTATCCCTCTGCACAGGATGCACCATCTTAGGCTACTAATCTTCAGACACAAAGCCGCTCCAAAACAAAGGGGCTTTGTGTTCCTGATCACATCTCTTGGAGCTAACTAGATGCCGAAGGCTTGCCCTGCAACAGGACCTAGGGACACGAACCCGGATCCTATCTGCACTCCCCACCCATGAGGCCCCTGGCAAGTTGCCTAATTCCCGAGGCGGCTCTTCCTCTCTGAAATGAGACTGCAGAGGTTGATTCAAACACAGTTTTGAAAATTAGTAAGGCCCGGTGCCTTGAGTACCACAGAGGTCCGATTCATAAAGTGCAATGTCCAAGAGCTCTGTCTCACTTTGAGGAGAAGGCCATTACAGAAGAAAGAGGTGTCTGACCCCAACAAGAACAGGTTGTTGGGACAGTAAAAGGCTGTTGGGCGGTTGACCAGGCTGCTTTGGCAGCTGTGCAAGTATGGCCGAGCTCAAGGTTCAATGCCCAGTTTAAAAAAAAAAAAATCCAACAACAACAGAATTTCTGGGGAATGCAGGATCCTGGGCTCCTACAGTTGTCCAGCAGCTCAGAACCCCCGGGCCTGCCTCCAGCTTGGAGATCACTAGCACAGATGCAGCTGTCTGTCCTCCCCATGGAGGTGACCCAAGAACCCAGGGCCCCTGTGGGCAACAACTGCGGCTGTGACGTGGGCGGGTGGGTGCAGCTCGCTTCTCCAAGGCGCCAGGACACTTCGCCATTTGTATCAGCTAATCCCATAAGGATGCCGGGCCGAGGATGGGCTTTCCCTATGCAGCCTTGGGGTGAAGGGGGAGAGGAGAGGAGAGACACCAGCCCAGGTCGCCTGTCATGATGAAATTCCTCATCTTACAACCTGAGAGATGGATTCATTCCAATAAACTTGGAATCATGGCATGTTAGCAAGAAAGAGCATCTTGGAAATACCAGCCCCTAAGTCTTCTTTTGATCATTAGGGAAACAGGGCCAGAGAGAAATGGGGTCATTTTATCCACAGTCACACAGTGAGCTAGTGTGCAAACCTGCTCCTCTGAACAAAGGCGGCACCACAAAGCTGTGATTTGCACACCTGTGCACAAGCGGGGGCACACCCACCCGGCTCCCCACCCAAGGAAACGTCTGGAAGCCATGAGACAGGATGAAGCTGCTGTCTTGCCTTCTGATCCCGTCCACACCCTGGGTCATCTGTGCCCTAGAATATTCTCTGCTAGGCTTGAGATAAACCGGGTCCCTTTCTTTATCACTGTTTCCAGAGGAAGGAAACTCGAGCACTTTCTTTGCAGAATAATATCTCCCTAAACGCCGCAGGATCTATTGTTTGGGGCAGAATCGGTTTCTTGGGCATGCAACCTGGGTGGTCACTCGGGGGCCCAAGCTCAGAAGGGTTTCCACTTGATTTAAGGCTCTGCTGTCATCATTTTGACATGCCTGAATGGCACAGGAAAGTGCTGCGAGGGGGAGTTCCTCTCACACGGTTGTGCTGCAAAAGATAACAGCCCTCCAGAAGTGAGCGCAGGGAGCTCACTCCAGGCAAAGCACAGGCCGTCCTGAGAGCACCTGCAGGAGAGGATGCTGGGGCCCAGGGAAGGACTCCTGTGCTCTTATGCTAATCTGCCCCAAACAGCGACTTCCACACGGCATAGGGTGCTAGAATCATTAAAAATTCTCTAGGTCCCACTATACAGGTGCATATGAAGAGACTGGAGGGACCAAAGTTAGCAAGTCCTAACAAAGGGCTATGGCCTGAATATGGGTGCCCCCCAACTCACCTGTTGAAATCTTTACTCCCAGGGCTCTGGCATTAGACATTAGGTTTTAGGAGGCAGGACTTTTAGGTGAATAGGTCCTGAGAGCGGAGGCCTCATGAGGGGAATCTGTGCTCTGGGAGGCACTGTGAGGCTCCCTGGATCCTTCCACCATCCTGCCTCAGCCTCTGAGTAGCAGGACTGCAGGTGCGCACCACTGCAGCTGGCATATCACAGGTAGGCGGGGCCGTCGCCCAGAGTCTTGGACCCCCTCTACATGAGCACACACTCCAAGCACAGTGTGTGGTGGCCTTCTCTCCAGAGAAAAGCAATCTTCATGGACATTTACTACTCACGATATCGTGGCTGCTCTCCAAGGCAGCCCTTACTTTGCAGATTTATGGGAATGTTCAAACACGTGAGTGTTGAAATACCTGCTGTGCATTTGTATGCCCACACCCTCCATCTACAACGACATTCCTCCTATGATCATTTATGTTCCACCTCTGTCCCTTCCTTCCCAGCACCATGAGACATTTTTAGGGGGAAAAAAAAGCATATTAGCCAGGTGTGGTGATGCACACCTATAATCCCAGCAACTCAGGAGGCTGAGGCAGGAGGATTGCAAGTTTAAGGCTAGCCTGGGCCACTTAGTGAGACCCTGTCTCAAAATAAAAAAGGGCTGGGGTTGTAGCTCGGTGGTAGAGCACTTGTCTAGCATGTGTGAGGCACTGGGTTTGAACCTCAGCAACCACATAAAAATAAATAAACAAGTAAGTATACTGTGTCAAAAATATTTAGCTTTAAATATATATGTATAAACAAAAAACAAAAAGAATGTATCTCAGTGAGAGAATGTTCCAGGGTTCAATTTCCAATACTAGAGGGGGAAAAAAAAAGAAAGAAAGTCCAAGTATCCTGTGTGGGAATGTAAGAGTTTTCTTTGGAAAGGAGGCCCACAGCCCAGCACGCTGACCAGGGGCCATACATTTTCATTTTATCAGAAGGCCTGCAAATTATGCGGTTGAGCCCAGCTCGCAGGTGTGAACAAACAGGTTCTGCAGGCTTCCTGTCCATCCTGCAGAATTCCCAGGTGGTTGTCCAGCTGCCGCCCCCCCCACTCCCCGCCCCTGCTCTGGGCTGCAGGCTCCCCCCCCCACCCCCCAGCTTGGTGGACTGCGTTTTCCCTACTAGTCTCAGATCAGGTAGAGCCACACTGAGCCTTTGTCACCTTCCACTTGCTTAGCCCAGGCTGACACCCAGCAGGGACAGCTTGGAACTGGATGTAGGTCCAATAGGGACAGTGGGGGTTGGGGCAGGCTCTGTTTCTGCTGCCCAGACTGGGCACCAACACCAGGAGGGATTGACCGATGGCCAAAGAGGATTAGCTGGGCCCCTCGGGGGCAAGCCAGGCTTGGCAGGAAAAGGCAACAGGGAGAGCGGTCAGCAGGGCCTGGGACCCGGGAGCGCCTAGACCTCGGCCAGTTGGCACTCAAGCGAGGCCGGGCCGCGTTCACAGGAGTTGGGGCCCCGCCACCCTGTGGCACCCGCCTCCTGAGCCTCTCTCCCGCCACGCCTCCCGCTCCTCCCGCCAGTGGGCTGCACTTACATGACCACCAGGGCCGCCTCCCGGGAGTAGTCCAGCAGGATCTCATTCAGTCTCACCTGCCGAAGGGACTGGGGCAAGGGGAAGCCGGGCGGTCACCTCCCACGTCCTTGGGAGCAGCGGCACCCCTGCCAAGGCCACCGGACCGTGACTGACTCTCCTAAATGACTAGACTCTCTGCCCCAGGAAGGAAGGGGACCCTCGTCACAATCAAGCACCAAGTTCGCCTGCTCCCAGAAGCCACCGGGGCTTTTCCTTGCCTGACTTTCTGGCCATGTCCAGCAGGAGAGTGGGAAGAGGGAGCTTGACTGGATACAAAACTCAGCCCTGGCACTTCACAGCAGAGAGCACCGTGGGCTTCCTGAGCCTCACGAGGTATGAAATGTCCTGGGGGTGGGGGACGCGGGGAGGGTCCTGTGAGATAACTGTGCAGAGCACCAGGCAGAGGGTCTGGTCACAAAGAGACCCTGAATGAAAGACTAGGAAACGCAGAGCAGGGAGGGTCCACTGCCTGCCACAGACCATGGGGGGACTTCCTGTGCACTTTATCCAGAATTTTCCAAAGCGTCAGCTGGCTGTATAAGTTCTGGGCTCAGGGGCTTCTCCAGAGTGTGTGGGGGGGGCTGTCTTTATATTGTTCAGAAGTGATTGACGCTCAAGATCTGAGAGCAGGTGGACACCCCATTTTAGAGAATGGAAAACTGAGGGGCGGTGACTTAGCCCACATCAGGGATTCTCAACCTCTCGCTATGCGCATTTCCGGTGACATTTTTTGTTGTTGTTATGGGACCCGGACTGTGCATTGTAGGGTGTTGAGAGCAACCCTCATTCCCCAGGTGTGACATCCAAGAATGTTTCAAAATGTCCCAAGGGGACAACATCACCCCCAGTGGAGAGCAGTAGAGCTCAAGGATTGACGAGCCTGGGCCACTGCAGTCTGTCCCCAGGGCCCTGGGCCTCCAGTGGCTCATCCCACCTTGAAGAAGAGCCCCCACCGTGCACACGCCCTCTCTCAGCCCTACCAGAGTCCTGACTGTCCTGTCTGGGAAGGGGTGGCTGCGGCATTGCCTGCATCTAGGCCGCGGGCACAGGCTGAGGGAGATGGGGCACTTCTGTCCATCACGGGACAAGTGATACTTCAGCCCCCAAACCTGAGTCACGAATCCTTCCACCAGGTGTGGAGAAATGGGGGAGGAGAGGAAGGACTCCCGCCAGTTCCTGCCCACTGCCGGGGACATTAATGGGCAGAAGGATCAGGCTCTCGTGCCAAGGACAGCACTGGGTTCACAGCCGGTCACCTGTCAGCCCAAGCATTTGTGGCCTGAGGATACCGCAGAGGCTGGGAGTCAAGGGCAGCTGGGCTCAGGAAGCTCGTCCCCACCCAGCAAGGCCCTGCCCTCTCTGGCACCTTGACCCTGTTCTTGTTGACCTCCTCATCTGAGATCTTCCACGGGCAGTCCCGCCTCATCTCGGCCACAGTGGCCTCGTCCTTGAAGCCGTCGTTCAGGCGGAAGGGCGCGATCATGTCCTCAAAGCGCTTGGTGCTGGAGAGAGAACACAGGAGAGGCCGTGAGATGGCCCATCTCCAGAGAAGCCAGGACCCTGGAGGGAGCTAGAGGGGAGGCCACGGGGACACAGAGCGGGGCCCAACAATGCTGCCATCTACGTGGGAATGGCCCCAGTGTGATTTAGACTTGGCCACTTAGACCTGGAGTTCCACCAGACTTCTCCAAGCCATCATCAGTGGTGGGCCTGGACTCTACCTGCCCCTAACTCAGCAGGCGGTCACTGGCCCGGTCTGTGTCAGGTTCTGAGCCACACAACAGACTCCAGGTCAGACTGGGCACCCTCCTGGATCCCGTGCTCTGATGCAGTAAGAGGCAAATAAATACAAAGTGGGGGATTTATAAATGTATAAACCGAATCCTGGTATAGAGAAAATCAGGGTCAGGAGAGGCCTTGCGAGGGCTGAGGAGTCTGTCCTGAAGCCAGCTATGCACAGGTGGAGGTGGGGGGTAGTGGCTAGAGCAAACCGAACTGAATGTGCAAAGGCCCTGAGGTGTGGTAGGCGGCCTGCATGAAGTGCAGCCAAAGAGCCCAAGGGGCTGGAACAAGGTCCCAGCCAGCAGCAGGTCTGCAGGGCACACCGCTGGCCTTTCTGCTTAGATCCCCTGACACAGAGAACTCACTGCTCCGCCCGCGGCTTCTGATTGATGTCAGGAAGGACATGAACTTCATGAAATCCCAGTCGGAACTTGCTCAACAGAGAAATGATCCTGGAGGGCAGAGGGAGACTTTTTAAGTGTATTCATTCGATGACATTTTATTAAGTTTCTGCTGTTGACAGCAGTGAGCCAAACAGACCCCATCCTGCCCCTTGGCACTGCCATTCTAACAGAGGAGGAGGGACAGACAATCAGGGTCACCAATGAAGCAGGTCAGCTCATGACAAGTGACGCAGAAAAGCATGACCAGGATTTCCCAAGCGTCTGGTGGCCACCTCTGTCTTAGTGCCTGGCAATCATTAACGCCCGTGTCTACACCTCTGCCGAGACTTTGTGACAATGTCCATTCTGATTCACTGGTCTGGCTGGGGCCGGGGATTCTGCATCTCTAACCAACTCCCAGGGGATCCAACGCTGCCAGGCCCCGGGGACAGGACAGTTGGAAAAGAGGAAATTAAAATTCCTGAGGGAACCAAAGAAATGTGAGAACCAGGCAGAGAAGCAGGAGGGCAGCTTCGGGCACCACTTTGGATTTAACAGGAGAGGAGAAGCCACTGTGGTGGGAGTGGTCAGGAGGATGACACAGAGCGGGTAGCGATCTGGCTGGACGGTGCGTGGTGGAGATCATTGAAGGCCAAAGGGGTTCGGGCAGGGGGATGTCCATATTGACATTTTTTTTTTCAGTCCTGGGAATAGAACCCAGAGCCTTGCATTTACTGGACGAGAGCTCTACCACCGAGACGCATCCCCAGGCCAGAGTCCACACTGGAACCTGCCACGGGGCCTTCAGAACAGTGTGCTGCCTGGTGCTAGCACCTGCTGAGTCACACTCCCCGGGCAGGGCAGGTCTTGGTAAAGTCACACATGGTCCCAGTGTGCCCCCTTGGTTAGGGCCTGCTGGACTCACTGGTGGAGAGGAATGGACAGGACAGCGATGGCAAAGAGCCAGCTGGGATAGCTTGGAGCCTCTGGAAGACCAGCCTGAATGACCAGCTGGGCCCAGCAGTCAAGCAGTGGCTGGTTCTTGAACTTGGGGGAGCAGGATTTGGAAAGCAGAGCTATGGGCAGATCCATCTTGGTGTGCGGCAGTGGCTGGGGCCAGCAGGCCTGGGCAGCACCTGGGCAGGTGGCAGCGTAGGCCTGCCCTGGGGTCACTGAGAGAGCAGGTCACATGGCCCAAGAAGGTCACGGTTGGGTGGCAGAGGAGTGAGTGTTCACAACCTCTGTGTGAAGGGTGTGCAGTGCCAGGCCTTGGGCTCAGCCAGCTGTACTGACCACCCCCTGCCCAGGCCTGGACCGGAAGCCGAGGCCCTGACGGCGTAGGTGCTTTTCAGACACCCCAGGGGCCAGGAGCTACTGTTCCCAAGCAGCGCCTCCCCGGCCTTGCACAGAAGGGACCTTTGAGTGGCAAAGTCCTCAGTGGGATGACAACAAAGAAATGGGGCTTCTGGGGTGAGCAGAGGGGGAGCTCATGGGCATGGCCCAGGCATGGACAAGGGCAGTGGCCAGGACTCCCCTCTTGTCCTGACCACCGTGTCACAGCCAGGGCTGCTGCAGAGGGCACTGGAAACCCTAGTGCAAGGGTTCTTCCCTCTGCCTATTAAACCGCAGACCCTCACCCCACGACCTCTGACCTCCCGTGACCTTGCTGTGAAGCAGCAGTTGCCCGACTCTACCTGCCTGACTCCTGCCAAGTCCACACCTCCGGCCACCTGCCTCACTGTCCTCCTCCTCGTCTGTTTACAAACCCACACGTGTTCCAAATGAGGGCTGTGATTTGAATCTGGTTTGTCCCCTGAACTCACGGTGAAGTCCAATCCCCAGCGAAAGGAGGGTGGAAACCTAATCTGACTGTGGCGTTTGCAGGGAGGAGGTGAACTCTGGGAAGTGATTAGGGCTGGATAAAGTACCCCAAGATTGAATCCTGGTGGCTTTATGTGAAGAGGGAGAGAGACCAGATACACACAGCCACTTTTGCCTTCCCTCCCTGTCTCTTGCCATGTGAAACCCTGAGCCACTTGGGGACTCTGCCAGCAAGAAGACTATCACCAGATAGAACCCCTAGACCTTGCATCTCCAGAAGCATGAGCCAAAACAAACCTCTTTTTTCTATAAAGTAGACTTCCTCAGGTATGTCAACATAGTAATGAAAACCAACTAATACACTTAGATACATTTCAAAAGGAATTTTTATATTACTATTTGAAACAGAAAATAAACATGTCTTGGCAGAAAGAAGTGATACTTAAAATCCAAGTAAATAAACCAGTGTCACTAAATTCTGGCCAAGCCTGTGAGCCCAGACCTGCTCCTCTTGCTTAGACAGGGAGCTCAGCATGGCTACTGAGGGGAAGGACAAACCAACACTAAACCAAGATCTTCTCCCACCAAATCAGCCACAGAGTTGAAGGGGGATTAAAAAATCACTTCTCGGGCTGGGGTTGCGGCTCAGCAGTAGAGCGCTTGCCTAGCACGTGCAAGGCCCTGGGTTCCATCCTCAGCACCACATAAAAATAAGTAAAATAAAGGTATTGTGTCCAACTACAATTGAAAAATAAATATTTTTTTAAAAAATCACTTCTCACGTAAAGAATCAGTGGTATGGTGTGGCCTCATCTCCTGGCCACTCAAGTCATCTCTCACCTCCCGTGTTCCACACTTTGGGGACATTATCCTCAAAGATTCTATCTCCTGTCTCCTTTCTCAGGAGGAAGGGGCCCTCCCTCCTTCGTTTCACAAGGGTTTCTCCTTGAGGAGTTTGGGATTTTGAATCTTATCACCCCTCCCTGTCAGAGCAAAGCCCAGGGTGTGGGTATCTGATTAAAGGGGGTCAAGAAGTCACTTCTGAACTTCGCTCCTGGCCAGAACCCCCCTTGCCATCACTGTGGCTGGAGACAGCCTGCCCAAGCTCTGGGCAATTCCAAGGCCCACCTGAGGGTGGCGGTGGAGGGCAGGGGACGGGAAGGGGCCCCCACTTACGCCTTCCTCTCCTGGTCCATCCTGCTGACCTGGCCCCCAATGAACACCCGGATCTTGCATTTGCTCCACCTCTTCTTGCGTCGAAGGAGATAGGGGATGAGGAGGGTGAGGCCTGGCAAGGAGGGTCCCCAGAAACCAAGGGGAAAATTCTCAGGGGACAGCCCCTGGTGGGTTCCTGTCCCTTACTGCCACCATAGGCAGACCCCTTCCCCTCTCTGGACCCTGGTTTACCTGCCTGCATCAGAACTCACCTGGCTAAACCCCGGTGGCCGTGGTGCCTGGTGTCTAGGGTCTATTTAGCAGTGGTGTTTTTAAATATTTTTAATATTCACCACAAGCTGGTAGTGAACGGGGGGGAATTGCACATGGACATCTAGAGAGAGGGCCTTTCTGGAAAATTGAACATTTGGCCAATGGGTGGGAGCCTGCATCCCTCTCTGTCATGCCATGTGAGACCAAGGACCAGCCACTGTGTTCAAGGCCTAGTCCTGTGTGTCCCGGTCTCTTTATTTGTAAAAGAGATGACGTTAGATTAGAGCACTGGCCAGAGGTAGGTAGTCAGCGCTCAGCCTGAGTTATCTGTCATTGATAGAGTATACAGTCCTCCTCTGTGTCCGCAGGGGATTGCATCCAGGGCCCCCTTTGTGCTGAATCCACCTGTGCCCAAGTCCTCTGTATAAAAGGACATAGAATTTGCATGTCACCTACCCACATCCTCCTGTGTACTTTACACCATCTCCTAGAATGCCAGCTACAATGTGAATCTGTGCAAATAGTTGTTGTACTTTATTGTTGGGAAATAATGACAAGGACAAAGTCTGTACAGGGTCCATACAGACACAATGTTCTTCCTGAACATTTTTGACCTGTGCTTGGTCAGAAGTGTGGAGGTAGCACCTGGGGACCCGGAGGCTTGGTTGTCCTCTTTTGAAGCAGGGGTATTTTCTATGACTCTGTCAAAGGTGGGAACTATAAAGACAAGAGTCGTGTTTTAGGGAAAAACAGGGCAGGTGTGTCTCTGTGGAGAGTACTCCAATAGCTGTCCTGTGCACTGGCCCCTGTCCCCAACTCTGCCGGTGGCTGGGACCCCCAGGACTATCCAGTGAGGACGTTCTTCTGAGGTTGGCCTCAGCCCTGCCCCCATCTCTCTCCACTTCACGGCTGAAAAAGTTAGAGGCCAGGGACAGGGGCCCCGCCGGACGCCCTGGCCAAGCCCATCCAATGACTCAACCCAGTTATCCAGGGGTCTGGGGCCCTGCCCACTTTGCTGGACTCTAGGTCCAAGCAGAGGCCTTGACAAGAGCCAGCCAGGAAGGTCAGGGCAAGAGATGCAGGGACGGGCAGGGAAGACGTCCCAGGGCATGAGGGAGCCACATCTGAGGAGTCCTGACCTCCATCATCAAAGAGCCAGTAGATGTCCACAGTCTTCTTGCCCTGCTCGGCCTGGAAGAGGGTGCTGGCCTGCTCCTCCCGCACCAGGGCCTCAGGGTCCACTGCGGGAGGGGAGGGGGTCAGAGCAGCCAGCCTCCTGGAAACGGCTCGCCACCCTGAGAGGTGGGCTTGCCGTTCAGGCCCAGACTGTGCCCGCAGCAGCAGACGCAGCCGAGCAGGCCTGGCCGGGGCCGTGCACTTCCCTCCTGGCGCCAGGACTCGGATTCTCAGGCAGGTGGACCAGGAGCGGAGACCCTGGGATCACAGGCTGCCGCATGCCCCCCCCTGCTTCTCAGCTTCTCCCTCCCCAGGCTCCAGCCAGGGGGACCCCATGCCCTCTGGGGCGGCCCTCCGGGAGGAAGCATGCTCTTCCAACCCTTGCACACTCTCCTGGGCCCCTCAGGAACGCCACAGGAGTCCCCTGTGCCTGTGGCAGCTTCCCCTGCCTCCCAGGGCATCAGCGGAAGACTGCCACTCTACCCCTCCCTGAGCCTACATCAGACAGGTCCCGCAGGGGCCTTGCAGGGACTTGGGTCCTGGAGGCCCAGCGTCTCCACCAGGACCTGCGCTCTTGAACAGGGGCCACGCCCATCGGGTTACTCAGCCCAGTTAGTCAGCCGCTGCTATCACTAGGAACAACCATCGCCTTTGACCGAGTCCCCAGGTGGCCACCACTAGCCCCTGCTGGGCCAGAACACCCTGAGCCTCCGAGTGGGTGGGGACTGACGTGTGCCCGACACAGATGGCCTGGCCCCGCGGGTGCTAGTGCCCTTGCTGTCCTCCGCTGGGTCAAACACAGGATTAACTGTAAAAGAGGGGCATCTGGGGTTGCAGGGTGCCCTCACCTGGGGAACACTGGGTTCTCCATCTAGCAGGGCTCCCTGAACACTGGGAGGAGAGTCCCACGGCCCCACCACACTCAGACCCGCCTCCCTCTGCCCTGGCCCTGCCCTGGCCCTGCCCTGGCCCCTCTTGCTCCTCCAACAGGCTAAGCTCATGCCCACCTGGTGGTGAGGATGCCCCTGAGCTGGGGGCAGCTTTCCCCAGCCCTGCCCCTCGCGGCCAAAAGGCCTCCCCTGGACACCTGTGTTGAGTGCCAGACACTAGATGACCGAGTGTCCGCTTGTACAGATCTGCTTTGCCCCAGGGACAGGGGCTTTGTTTGGCCCTTGCTGTACCCACTGTGCCTAGAGCAGCACAGGAGCATGGCTACCGACTTGGTCACTGTTGGTTGCATAAATATTTACTGACCAGCTCCCTGGGCCAGGTACACCCTCAGCCCTCCGTGACACGCAGAGTCCCACCCACCAAGCTCCCGGCTCTGCCCTCCATCTGGCTCCATGAATTTTATGTCTTTTACATTTCTAAATACTAGTAATTCAGAGTCTGCAGAGTTGGACTTTTAAATGGAAAACACAGCAGCTCCACGCTGCCCAGCTAGAAGCATCCTCTTGGACTGTCACGTCCCCTTCTGGGCCTTAGTTTTCCCACCTGGAAACCTGATGGTCTCTAAGTGACCATCCAGGGCCGACGTTCTATGAGCCTGTGACCTTTAGTTCCTTATGCATTTTCCCTCTCTTCCTTGCACTGCTTAAAGAACTTGGGTTCCAGAAGTTTCTGGGGTCCCCTTCTGGTCTGGGACAGCGTGCTGAGCCGGCGCTGCGGGTGCTCACCGTGAGCCTGCAGGGTCTCGGAGATGTTCAGCCCCTCGCGCATCCTCAAGACACACACGCCGTAGTTGAAATCAAAGGCATCACTGGAAAGAGGAGCAGGGGGTCAGGCTCGGCTCAGCCCCAGCTCCCACCCAGGAGGTGACCTGGCTCCCGGGAGACCAGGTGTCCAAGATGGCCCTGCTTCCCACCGTTCTCCTTCTCCCCCCTGGGCCTCAGTTTCCCTGTGTGTAAAGTATGCAGACAGAACCGGAGAGTCGCCCGGGACCCCTCGAGGGACACTCAGTCAGGCCTGGCTTCCCCCTGGAGAGCTGGGTGAACCCTCACAGCTCTGCCACAGGGTGGGGTGGTCGATATCGTCTCCACCTTACAGGTACACACATGGAACGGTTTGTCCACAAGCACACAACCAAGGAAGGGACCAGCTGGTCACTGTGAACTGAAGGGCAGGCGTGACCCCAGGACAGGCCTCACTCAAGCCGTGGGCTGTTATAACGAGTGTCTAGAAGACTCCTGCGCATGCCCGATTGATTGATTGCTCTATTGACACAGTGTGCAAAAGCCACCACTTCAGTGTGAGGCAGTGGGCCGAGCACTGCTTCCTTGGCTGTCTCACTCACACCCTCAGGATTGTCTTAGGACACTGGAGCCGGGGGAGCCTAGACACAGTTTCTCCACCACCTTCTCTTGCAATTTCATTAGAGGCAGTGGGAGGGTCCCCTGAGCTGTGCAGCCAGTCAACAGTTGACCGGGAAGCAGGGAGCGGGTCCCAGGGCGTCAGCTCTCAGCCTTGGCTCTTGAAGGAACGCAAGGCCTCGGGCCTCTGTGCAGCAAAGACCTCAGGCTGCAGGAATCAGGGGGCGGAGTCCACTCAGGGAGTTCAGTCCTGGTCTGGTTTCCCTTCCCTTCTCAGCGACACCATCTCTTTAACAGACCTCTGGGCCTTCTGAAGCCCACACGGAGGCTGTCGAACTCAGACCTACACTTCCAGCTACTCTGGAATATTAAAGATCTGGCAACGGTGTGGCCCACGTTTCTGTGTGGGTACAATCGGCTAGAGCAGCTCACCACAGTCCCCACTGCTCCCTATTGTCCTACACCTGCCTGGTCCCTGCCAAACTTCACCTTCCCTAAGCCTTGATCACAGTGGATTCAACTTCTTAAGTCCCCACTGGTTCCAGTTCACTCCCCAGGTCCAGGAACCCCTAGTGGCACAAATCAGCAGACCCCAGGCCCCACTGCCCGTGCCCTGGCTCACTGTAGGATGTCAATGTAGTCTTCCACTGTGGCTGGGTGAGCAGACTGCCAGTTCTTCTTGTATCCGACCACCAGGATGTTGGGCTTCATTCTCCCCAGACCTGCGGCCTGTGTGAGGGAGTGTTGGTCAAATGGGCACGGCTAGAGGGCAGGCCTCCCAGCTAGTGGGGCTCTGTCCTGCGACTAGGGTAGGCTTTCTCAGTCCAGCTGCCCTCTGTCCCTGCTGTGGGGGCTTAGGAAAGGAATCCCCACTGTCAGGGGCCTGTCCACCTGGACTCAGCCCCAGAAGGTAGAGCTACAGCCAGGGCGGCCCCAGGGCCTTCTCGGAGCCAAGCCGGCTGCACTGTCCCAAGCCCTGGGAATGCGCCGGGTCCTGCTTCTCTAGAAGATTATTTCTCTTAGTGCAGGACTTGAGTTTGCCTGTCAAGTTTGAGTATTCCTGGGTCATCTCATCCACACATCTTTTATACTTCTCTCCTTTTTTAAAAAATATTTTAAAATTTAGAAAATCTTGAGGTTAAATTCACATAATAAAAGCATTTTTAAGCGTACAATTCAAAAACATAAATTTTGAAGAATTTAAAAAACTCCAAAACAAAATACAAAAGATACAGTTTAGTGGATCTAGCACATTCACCATGTTTAGTAAATTCATAAAACCATCACCTCTACTTTCCACAAAAAGACCCAGGCATTTTATTTTGTTGTTGTTGTTGTTTTGAAAAATAGTTATAACTATTGAGAAGGATGCTCATATGTTGATCTAGAATTAGCAACTGTTATAATTTAATCTTTGTGTCTCATATTACATAAGATAACTGAGCAGTAAATGAATGGCCAAGTGGAATGTTCTTGATTTATTTTTTTTTTCTGTACGGGGGATTGAACCCGGGGCCTCCCTCCTGCATATGCAGGGCAAGTGCTCTGCCGAGGAGCTGCACCCTGAGCAAAGGCATTCTAGATCTCTAGATCTCGAGCTGAGTGGCAGCCAGGTGCACCAGGTGGTGCCTGGACCCACGGACACTATTGGTCTCTCACTGAACTGTTTTTCACTTTACTTTATGTAAATTATACCTGAGGAAAAAAGTGAAAAACAAAAAACAGCAACTGGCCAAGGTCACAGAACCCCTACCGGCTTCCATATCAGTTGCCCAAGTCCCGAGGCTCAGAACATACCCGCCCGCACGAGTAGATCTGGAGGTGCAAGAAGGTGGGGGGGGGCTTCTTGTTGCAGCAAACAGGTCTTAAACTAGATCCCCAGGGTTCTCTGCCTTTCGGGGTGCACCTGAAGTAATAAGCCCCGCAGGGAGGCTCCCGACCCGCCACACCTGCATAAGAATCTGGACGCCGCTGCGGAGGTCCTCGGCGATGACGTCAGAGTAGAAGGCCTTGATCTTCCTCTTGTTCAGCCACTTGGTGTGCCCGTGGGCAATGAGCCGCAGCTCGGGCATCCTCTGCTTTCGGGGTCCCTGTGGGCGGGTGGGGCAGGTGATGTCAGGGGCTGCCTTCCCCCTCTGGCCTGGGATCCAGTACCCCTCCTGGCCCACGGTCCCCCTCTGCCCTGGGATCCAGTCCCTCTCCTGGCCCACAGTCCCCCTCCTGGCTCACGGTCCCTCTCCTGGCCCACGGTCCCCCTCTGCCCTGGGATCCAGTCCCCCTCCTGGCCCATGGTCCCCCTCTGGCCCACAGCCTCAGGAGCATCTGGGGAGGCCCATTCTCCTTTACAGAGCTGGGGGAAGGAACCAGTCAAGGAGAGGGAGAAGGAGAGGAGAGGCGGGCGGGGAGGAGCCCGAGAGAGGGGCCGCCCAGCCAGGTTCTGCTTGCCCCTCGCCCCTCTGCCCCTGCCCCCTGCATGGACACCCCAGCCAGGCGGCTCCCCCAGCAGCGCAAGGGCACTCATGACAGGGGACACTCACGATGAGCACGTGGCCACAGATCATTAGGCTCAGGTTCTGGGTAAAGGTGCCCACAAAGTCCACCAGGGCCGGGCGGAAGTTGGGGGGACCGGTGAGCACCAAGCACTGGGGGCTGAGGAGGAGCAGGAAGGGCAGGAGCTCAGGAGGGCACACACAGGGACGCTGGTGGCAGGTGCCCCAGGAGCTCTGCCACCTCCTAGGTCACCCTGAACCCCAGTGTGGCCTCAGGCAAGACCCTTCACACTTCCCAACTCTTCTTCTTGACTCTGGGTCAAGGTCGCGTCCAGATTTTTTGAAGGCCATCGGACTACATCTACATTGTCATTATTGCTCAGGTCACCAAACACCCCACCCAGTGCTCTTCCTTTGCCCTGCCCAGACCAGCTGCCCATGGAGGTGGACAGAACAAAGCGACCCTGGCTCCAGCTCCCCGTGGGTCCCAGAACCTCTGCTCACCGGTAGTTCTTGATGTGGTCTTCCACCTCGTTGAGGCCCACGGAGTAGCTGAGGGCCAGGTTGTAGGAGCCCGCCTGCACCGAGGAGCCCCAGTTGACCTCTGAGGGAGGGAATGTGGGGTGACAACGAGATTAGAAAATCCCTGGGGAAACCAATTTGTGGCAGGAGGGCAGGTCAGCGGGGCTGCTAGGTGCCTAATGAGTGCAGGGCTGGCGGCCCACCATGCATCAAGGTATGGAGACGGACTCCTGCCCTGAGAGACCTCATGACCCTGAAAGCCCAGGAGCAAGCGCAGACTTCTCTCTTGGAGCTGTATTTCCTGGATCCCTGTCACCCCAGATCGCTGCTTGCATGTGGACACACCTGCCAAGTCCAGGCTTGGTCCACCTGTCCTTTCAACAGTCACCCCTTAGCCACCCCTCAGGCCTAGGTGGGAGGCCCTACAAGTCCACTCAGGGTCCTTTGTGCTAGAGATCCCTGGTCCTGGGTCTCTAATGTAGAGATCTGGGCTCCTGGAGGGCAGAGGGCACCTGGCCCCGCGGGGAAGGCTGAGGGCTGGGGACCTGGAAGCCCCAGCCCTGGGCAGGGTTGAGCGCAGATGGCCTGTGCCCACTCACCTGGCTTTTTGTAGATGACGTAGAGCAGGAGGAAGAGGACCACGCCGATGGCGATGAGGGCTGCCCACCAGGTGAGCAGGAACATGATGACCACGGAGACCACTGCCCCGAACAGCGCCGTCCACTTGCTGTAGTATTGGAACGAGGGTCTCCACCCTGGGCGGGGGCTGGGGTCACCAGCCTGCCCTGCACGAAGGAGCCTCCTCCAGGGCAGCACTGGGCAGCAGTCGTCCGGGTGCCCAAGGCCTGGGTCCCAGACTGTGCCTGCAAGCCAGGGACTCAACGGGCCCCACCGGCCTTTCTTCCTGGCTGGGCCTGGAGGCTCTGGGGAGAACCGCACGCCTGCCCACCGGGGAGGAGGCATCCTACTCTGACCAACTCCGGCCACAGGACATCGACATCAGCAAGGGTGCCAGCTCCCCAGGCTCCCGAGGCCAGAGGGAGGGGGAGGCATGGTTCTGCCTGACACCCCCTCCCTCCAGGCCAGAGCCATTGCTAGTGAGAGCTGCCCCAGGGCACCATGCACTTGTGGGTGATGTAAAAGGTGGCAATTTGGGGCTAAGTGGGCTTCCTCGAGTCTTTTTACTGCCATCTGCCAGCAGTTTTTCATCACAAACAAATAAATCCATGACATCTCATGGCCAGGATATGAGCGGTGTAACCAGAGCTGTGCAGTGCGCAACCTACAGCACTGTATGTGACGACCTTGTCTGACTTCGGGAAGTTCTCCCTTCCCTCTCTGGGGATGAGGTTCCTTGCTGGTGCTGGTAGAGGAAGCTCTCTCTCTACCATTCCACCTGAAGAGGGTCCTGGGGCTGCCCGCCTGCCAGCCCACCTCCACCCCCAGCCCTCGGGCGCCTCTGGGTGCAGGGTGCAGGGTTTGCTCACCCGGTGAGTTGGTGATGGAGGCGTGGAAGCAGCTGAAGTTGATGAGGGCGTAAGAGCACAGGAAGAAGTTGGAAATGATGGGCGCAATGGTGTTGAGCTCGGCTTCAGGGACCGGGGAGAAAGGAAGATCTGTCAGGCAACCCACCTGCCACCGCACCCTCCCTCAGAAATGGGACCCCAGGCAGGCCGCTAGCCTCAGTCAGTCTCAACCTTCTCAGCTGTGAAATGGGTCCTTCCTCTTGTGAAGCTCCAAGGGATGGAGTCTTCTAAGCTGAAAGCTGTCAACTTTTAAGCAGACAAGGGCAGCGTGGGAATGCACCCGTCAGGCTACGGGATGACCAGGGGCAGTGGCTGGGACATTTTTGACCACAAATTACAGTAAGGAATACACCCAGGACCCCTGAGAACTGTCACCCCTTCCCTGTCACTGGCCCCCACTGTCCCCAGATAAACCTGTGCACATGAAGCTTTATCTCAGGGCCTCTCTGGGGATCCCCCAAACAAGGCAAGCACCTCTTATGTGTTGGTCCTTCTGCCCAAGATCCCATCTAATCCCTGCGAGACCTCGGCCCCAGAGCACCTGAGATCACGGTCCACAGTTTAGCCAAGCCAGGACCCCCAGAGCAGAGGCATGGCTCCGAGCCAGGGGCGGGGGTGAGCAGGCAACAGGGGTGGGTTCGTGCCTTGGCAGCCCTGTCTAGCCTCCTCCACCCCCTGGGTGCGACCTGCCACCAGGATCCAGGGGTGAGCATCTGGAAAGCTTCCCTTTGGTAGCAGTGACCAGACTGTCAGGGCAGGTCTCCGGTTGGTAATGGGTGAGGCCAGGCTGGGAGGCAGGGGTCTGGCTGTGGCAGGAAGGTGCCACAGCTGCAACATAGGGAGCAATGGACATCCCTGCATGGCCACTGTCCATGCTGGGTGTGGCCACTTCTCTCCTGGTGCTTCCTTAGCTGAGTTATCAGGAAGTACTGGGTGTGTGCACGTGTGTGTGTGAGTGTGTGAGTGTGCATATGAGTGTGTGTGTGTGTGTGCTGTGCATACTCGAGGTCTCTTCCTGCCCACCTGTGGCACACCTGTTACACAATCTTGCTCCCAATCTGCAGATGAGGAAATCAAGGCCCAGAGAAGTGAAGTCATGTGTCCAAGGTCCCACAGCCGCCACATGGCAAAGCCAGGGCAGAAAGTGGATCTACCTGACATGTACCAGGGTGTTTCCCACCGTGAAACCCAAAGGTCAAGAAAGTGGCTTTGCTAGCTCGTAACCCACAAAGACAACTACCAGGCCATTTGTATCAGCTCCAGTCAGGGACCCGTCAGAGTGGCCTGGCTCCAAAGGCAGCCTGGGGGTTCATTTAAGCCTGGGAATTCAGGGGGAGGGGATCCCAGCTGCCAGGACACAGGAGTGAGGGCCATCTCACTGTCTGGAGGAGGGGGGCTCCTTCCAGGAAGGGCTAGCCCACTCGGGGGCCATTCTCCAGGTGCAGAGGTCGGCTCAGAGGTGTGGCGTGCCCCAGGTTGGACGCCCAGCAGCAAAGAAAGCGACCCTCTCTGGGTGCTCACTGTCCAGGCCTGGCTGGGGGAGAAGCAGGGAGAGGAGCCGGGCTGGGAAGGGGAGGCAACCTCTTACCAATGATGATGAAGGCCACTGCGATGGCATAGGCCAGCAGGTAGCCGCGCACGGGCTCCTTGTTCTTGCCGTAGCCTTTGCCAAAGAAGCCGATCAGTGGGTAGAGCTGATCCTCACACAGGCACTGCGGGCACCGGACACCGTGGCCACTCCCTGGCTGCCACGTGCCCCCTGTCCTCCCAGGGCCCTCTGGGCTCTAGCTCCTGCTTGGTCCCCTCTGTAGTATCAGAGGGCACCTCCTCAACCTGGGTCCCCATTTCTAGTTCTGCTAAATGGGCGAGCCCTCCCCTCACCAAGGAGATAGGACCAGGGCCAATCCGAGAGGGTCGGACAGCGGGCCCACGGGCAGCGGGCCGGTGGGAAGCACAGGGGAGCCTCAGGGTCCCCCCAGCAATCACCTGGGGCCCCTTCCTCCTGGGCCTTCCAGCCTGGTCTGTCCTACCTTGGCCCCTTTCTGCAGCCTCACCTGGAAGACCTTGGCAGCAGAGACCAGGCAGGCCAGGGCAGAGGACAGGGTGGCCCCGAAGATGCCGGCGGTGATCAGGGGCGCGAAGCCCGACACCATGCTCATGGTCTGCAGGGATGAGGGCCTGAGCTGGGGCCATGGCTGCCACCCCACCTGGGGCTCCCGGTGCCCTCTCAGGGAGCGCAGGAGGCCGCTCGTCCCCCGTCCACCTGGCCTGTCCCAGCAGCGGGTCCCCAGAGCCAGAGCGGGTACCTGATAGTAGTTGATGAGGCCGTAGTGGCAGCTGTGCTGCTGGGCGCACTGGGTGAAGTTCCAGCCGTAGCCGCAGGCCAGCCCCTCACAGGCACCCGAGCCAGGGGTCACCGTGTCGTTCAGGTCCCCGGAGGCGTCACGCACCACACAGGAGCCTGAGAGGAGGTAGGGTGTGGGGCAGTCTCCCTTCCCAACTCGCCTGCCCCCAGCATGCTGGCCACAGCTGCAGGGATGAGAAGCTGTGGGCGGTCAGCTCTCCCTTTATCACATGAGGAGGGGGGAGCAGGGGGAGATGGGGAGGGGAGGGGGGAGGAGGGGGAGGGGTAGATGGGGGAGGAGGGGAGGAGGGGGGAGGAGGGGAGGAGGGGGGAGCAGGGGGAGATGGGGAGGGGAGGGGGAGAGAGGAGGAGGAGGGGAGACAGAGGAGGATGGGGGAGCAGGAGGAGATGAGGGAGGGGGAGGGGGAGGAGGGGGGAGCAGGGGTAGATGAGGGCGGAGGGGGAGGAGGGGAGCAGGGGGAGATGGGGAGGAGGAGGGGGGAGATGAAGGAGATGAGGGAGGGGGAGGGGGAGCAGGGGGCGAAGGAGCTGGAGGAGGGGGAGGGAGAGGAGGATCAGGAGGAGGGGGAGGGGGAGGAGGGGGCGTGCAGAACAGCCAAGGCCTAGGTGAACCGCCACATGCCGGACACTGCACTCAGCCCCTCACAACCACCCTGAGAGAGCGGTGCTGAGAGGCACAGAGAGCTTCTGCCCAACGTCCTCTTGAAAGCACAGACCTGGATCTCAAGCCCTGGGTGGTCATAAACTAAGCCAAATCCCCTGGCCGTCTGTGGACACCTGCCTCACAGGTGGTCCCTGGGAATGAGGGTAGCTGTGAGGGCTTCAGCTCAAGTCAGGTATTGCCCTGGCCTGGATTCAAAGCTTGGCTCCACTGCTCAGAGGCTGTGTGACCTTGGGCAGGTCCCTCCACCTCTCTGAGCCCCTCATTTTCTCCTTTGGGACCAGATGAAGTGTGGTGAGCCAAGCAAAGGGCTGGGCAGTGGCAAGTCACTTACTAGCATCATCCCCACCAGCGCCACCCAAGGCTCAGAGCACGACTGGTCCTGCAGGGTCTTCACCCTCGCAAGTCCAGAACCTTAACGTTGACAGGACCAGAAGTCACTGGCCCCAGTCGCTGTGAAGTTGCTCTGGTCACTGCCAAGGTGACGGATGCCCGAGAGGTAGGACTCAAGGACCCACTTCCTTGGGTTTCCATGTCTTCCTGTTAGGGTCAGACCCCACCCTGGGGCCCCCTCCAGTGTCTGGGCTTCACCAACTCTGCAGGGTGGCACCAGGGTCCTCCCTGCCCCAAGCAGCTAGCCGGCTACTCACCGATGGTGGCTGAGATGGCCAGGTAGGAGACGGTGGTCCAGAAAATGGCCATGAGCGTGCCCTTGGGGATGGCCACAGCAGGGTCCTGCAGCAGGAAGGGTGCGTCAGGCAGCCCCGGGGCCTCCTCCAGGCCCTGCATCCTGTCAAGGTCAACCCCTGACCTTGGCCCCTCAGAGCCCCCTGCCAGCACAGAGAGACACCTGTGATTGAGGACTCACACAGGAGGGACGTGACCATGATCAGGGGACAAGGCCACATCTAAGGTACAGGGAGCCCAGGGTGGGACAAAAGATCCCACAGCCCCACACCTGGGCTTGGAGGACCCTGGCTATACAGGAGGAGGGACCAGGACGGCAGGGCCCTGGGTGAGCCCGCCTGGGGTGGACTCCAGGTGACCGGCTGGGCCGTGGCTGCTGTTCCACGCCTGGCCTCGTCTGTCAGTGGCCTGGCAATGGCGCGACCACACATGGGAAAATGAGTGGACCCACAGCAAGCTCCTGACCCGGCCCAGCTCCACCAGCTGCCACCATATGTGACATCCTGTGTGACTGATTTGTCCTGTTCCACGACAGTAAACAGGAGTGAGGACAAGCCCCAGACTTACGCTTCCTAACAGTGGGGACGGATTCCCCTGCGCGGTCCCCCTCCCAGGCACTTTCTCAAACCTAATTTCCTGAGAAGTGGCCTGCGCCCCTGCACCTGGCTCCTGGGGAACTGAGGGCAGGGTTGTGAGGGGACCCAGTCACAGAGCCTCTGGTGGCTCCATCCTGACCCTGACACTGGGGTCCACAGCCATGGGATCTGCCCACTGATCCAGAGCTCAAGAGGCTATGACTGTTACAGTGACTTCAAAACCAGCTCCGTGCTCCAGACACAGAGCGGGGCGGGTGTCAGGTCTGCCTACTTGGGACCTCCCCAGTTTGCCTGTCAACAGGTGGAAACAGAGAGTAGAGATAAGTCAAATTGAGGAGGAAGGGTGTGGCAGGCCGGAGCCAAGGGGAGGGAGGCCCAGAGGGAGGCTGGCGTCTCAGGGCCTCCAGGTCTGGTCACTGCTGGGGTCTCTGACCTGGGGGCTCTGCAGCCCTGGTCCTGCCAGCCCGTCCCAATGTCTGGATGGCTTGACTGGGTCATGCACATGGAGTCCTGGCCCTCAAGGCCAGGCCAGCCTCCCACGCCACCAAATTCACATCCACCAGGAGCCTCGGACCATGGCCTTGTTGGGAACAAGCCCTTTGCAGGTGTGATTAGCTGAGGTGAGGTCAGGCTGGGTTACAGTGGCCTCGGGTGCAGTAACGGAGTCATCGTAAGAGGAGGAGAAGACACAGAGGAGAGACGGTCACATAATCAAAACGATGCAGAGCGAGGAAGTCAGGGAACGCCACTGTCAGGGGCCACCGGAGCTAGGATGAGGACAGGAAGTTCCCCGGGGCCTTCACACAGAACGTGGCCCTGTCAGGACCTTGATTTTCAATTTCCAGACTCCTGAACTGTGAGAGGAGACACTTGTATTCTCACCCCCCACCACCCCCATGTCTCGGTCTGAGATCTCAGGGGTGGCTCACAAGTCAGGCACAGGTGGGTCCACGTCCCAGCCCGTCCCGTCCTAGCTGTGTGACCTGGGAGAAGCCCCTTCATGTCTCTGAGCCCCAGTTTCCCCATCTATGAAACAAAAAAAACCACCTGCCCCAGCAAGAACCCTAAGTGGGGGTTCTTAGAAGCGGAGGCAGCATCCCACACATGGACAGGTCTTGGAACAGCACAAAAATGTCTGTCGAGGGACAAAATGATTGTGATTGAATTGTGGGCTCTGCTCTACAGACTGGCACTCCAGTGTCCGTGCGGTCAGTGTGGCCTGGGCCAGCCGCTGCATGAGGAGGGCTTGCTTGTCTGTGGCATCAGGAAGTGACAATGTTTGCAGCTAGCTCTTAGCACGTCCTCCTGGGGCCAGGCGCTGTCACCCTGCCCTGCCCCCTGTACATCTGGGAGATGTAGGGACACTTGCCCAAAGTCCACAGAGAGGCCATAAATGGGACCTCTGCTGCTGAATGAGCAGAACCAGGAGCCAGTGGCCCTTTTAAGGCTTGGCAACACTTGGGACAGCGCAAAGGTGACCCCTTACCCACTCAGAGGCAGCGGCCCGGCCCTCATGCCTGCACTCTGGGCCACTTAGTAACCGACAAAGCAGCTAGATGAACTGCTTTATCTGAGCACAGGCGGGACCTCTGCAGGGAGCTCAGGGCAGGCTGACCAGGCCTGGGCTGGCTGCTGTCCAGGGGAAGGAGAGGGCTGACAAGCGCTCCCACATCCAGCCCCAGGGTACACGCCCGGGGCATAGCCAGTTAGAGCCTGGCCGACCTGAGGAGTGTCTTAATCCACTCAAGAACGCCTTTGGGGGCTGGAGACTGCAGGGAGGGCGCCGGTCACCCGCTCTTGCACACCATCTCCTTGGATCTTCCTGCCGGCAAAGCTCCCCGCCCCACCACAGCGCCCGGCGCTTTGAAAGCCCAGCCCCAGCCCCTGCTCCACCCAGAAGGTTTCCTGGGGGTCTCTGCTGACGTCCTCTGTCCTCCCCATGGTACGGCTTCGAACTTCTCCTCCCACACCACCTTTCACCACGATTCAATCAACAAACAGGCTTGCGACTGACTGAAAGCTGGGAACAGGGACACACGGATGGGTGGACGTCGTTACTCTAGGAGACCCACGACCCCTGGGAGAACGGCCAGAGACGTTGTTTGAAAGACAAACAGACACTTGGGAGGTCAAGAAACAGGCCAGGGATCCCCAGGTGGCGAGTCCAGCACAGTCAAAACCACGTGGGCAGTGGGGCTGAGGGCAGCAGATCCTGGGGCAGAGCAAGGGTCACAGGGACAGTGACAGAGTTTGGGGACAAGCCTGGACAGGTGCCTGGAGCCTGGATCACTGGGCCAAGGAGCTGCAGAGATCCCGGGAGGTCAGCCCAGCACAGGTGTGCACGTTCAAGACTGAGTTTCAGAATGTCGCTGCTGGGCGGGTCTTCCCTAAGGCCCAGAGACCCAGGAACTAGCGGGGGACCAGCACATACTGGGGTGTTGCACAGGTCTCAAGCCCAGGTGGTATCAACAACAGCCCAGAATAGAATAGAAGGGAACTGGTTTGGATTGGACCAAGTAGAACTGGGCCGCACCGATTGAAGCTCTGAGCCCCTTCTCTGCCCCGGCTCATGCCAACCTCCACGCTCGGGCAGCAGATCCTGCTGGGACAGGGAGCAAGACTGTCCTCACAGCCCCCTGCAGTGGCGGGGTGCAGGAGGGACAGGTGTTCTGCTCACCTTGAGGTCCCCAGAGATGTTGGCTCCTGCCAGGATCCCGGTGGCCGAGGGGAAGAAGATGGAGAACATTCCGAAGAAGCTGCCATCAATGCCCCTCCAGTCGGGCACCAAGTTCTGAACAAAAATGTCCCCTGGAACACAACCCTGAGTCAGGGCCGCCTGGACCGCGTGGCTGTCCAGGACCAGCCAGGCAGGCCGTCGACTCCCCAGCAGCTTCTAGCTGTGGGCGAAAGGGAGCCCGTCCTCCTGGTGCCCCACAGTGGGCCAGGTCCGTGGACAAACTGTCCCCGTCCCCAGAGCCATGGCCAGGAACCCCAAACTTCACGTACCCCGGTAACTGAAGAAGCCCTTGGAGGCCTTGTCCTCTGATGGGGGTATCAGGGTCCCCACCAAGTAGTTGGCAAAGGACACCATAATGACAAGGAAGAACAACACCTGGGCCTGGGGGAGAAGGACCTCGAGGTGAGACTGCAGTCCCGCATCTTCCGGGGGCCCCACGGGGGGATGCGCCCAGCCCTCGCCCCGGCAGACACTCCCGGCCATTCACGGCCATTCCGCAGTAGCTCTGTTGGAGGAGCTGGGATACAGCGGCGGGCAAGGTGGCCCCGGCCTCTTGTCTTGGCTGATGGGTGGGATGAATTTAGAGCAGGAACAGGGGTGTGATGGGACTGAGTTGGGGCTACTTGAGCAAAGTGGCCTGGGGAGGTGACGCCAAGGAGAAGACTTTTTTCTTTTTGGTGCCAGGGATTGAACCCAGGATGCTTCACCCCTGAGCCACATCCCCAGCCTTTTCTACATTTTATTTTAAGACAGAATCTCACTGAGTTGCTAAGTGCCTTGCAAAGTTGCTGAGGCTGACTTTGATTGAACTTGTGATCCTCCTGCCTCAGCCTCCCGAGTCCTGGGATTACAGGCGTGCACCACTGCACCAGGCTCAAGAAGACTTTTGAGCAGACACATAAAGGAGGAGGATGAGTGAGCCTGATCTGGGAATAAGTTAGTGCTTGGAGAAAGGAGACCAGCAGAGCCAGGATCAGAGGGCCACAGACAGGAGGCCCAGGGCCGGGTCCTGCCTTGCCCGTGGGCCCCTTCTGGCCGAGTCCCAGGCTGTGACCCAACACTTCCTTATTTCATATACTGAGCCTCTGACTCATGGCTGGACACGAGACTCAAATGAGTCTGTTTTGCAGCTGCACGTGGCCTGAGGCCAGGTTCTGGCCACTCCAGAGCAACAGGGGCAGCTCTCAGCTTGAGCCATCAAGGAAGGGAAGGGGCTCCTCCCTTTCATCTCGCCCTTCTTCCCTCTCCCTCTGCCTGGACTGTGGGCAGTGTGAGGGCAGCCACCGTGGACCAGGAGAGCCACACCCTAGGGATGCAGAGGCCACAAGAGGGGAGGAGTCTGGGGGTCCAACTACCCCCGTGGAAGCCTCCATGCTGGCCTTGGACCACGTCCACCAGGACTGTCGCATGAGAGAATCAAAGTCCCTCTTGTTGGAAGCACTGCTAACTTGGGCCTCTTTGTCATAGCAGCAGAACTTGGAGCCCAGCTAATACAGATAAGAAGGGGCAGAACCAGGGCTGACCGGCCTCTCTCCCTGCCCCTCTCCCCCGGGCCTTCCTCACCTTGGACTCCCATTCCATGCCAGCCAGGGAGATGGCCAGCAGCACCGTGACGGTGGCCACGCCGATGATGCGGATATCGTTGATGGGGTCCACGATGGGTGTGCCGTGCTCCTGGGGAGGGGACGCAGGCTGCCCTCTGAACACCCCACTGCTCTAGACCCTCCCCTTTGTGTGGGGTGCCCTCTGATAGCAAAATCCCATACAAGCTCCTTCCGGCCTACAGTCCCCCCATGTGGCTCTGCATGGGCCTGGACAACGTGGCCCCCAAGGCAGCACACGGCTCAAGAGGGCACTTGTGGGGATGGTCTTTGTTTGATGAGATCATCATCGTCACAGACCATGGCTGTGGTCCCTGAAGGGAGAGACTGGGTGGGGGGGAGGAAGGACCCAGGCAGAGTTGTGGGTCCAGCGCCACCTCACCTGGAGCAGGTCCCGCACGGTCTCTGCGAAGCCCACCGTGTGCATGGCCACACCCACAGCGTTGGCGAAGGCGAAGATGAGGCCGATGGAGCCCCCCAGCTCCGGGCCCAGACTCCGGGAGATGAGGAAGTAGGTGCCACCTGGCAGGGAGGGCCGAGCCAGGAGCCAGGAGACCAGAAGAGTCAGCCGGGGGGTGGGGTGGGGTGTGCTTAGGGCAGGCAGAGGCTGAGGAGAGGTGACATGGGGCTTCCAGGGCAGGAGTAACCGAGGCCATCCCTCCTGGAGCCCCCACCTGGAACCTCAGGAGCAGCCTGGGGCATCCCATGGGTGGGGAGCAGTTCAGAGTCCATTCCCAGGGTGGGGACTGGGGCAGCCTTCGAGAAGAGGAGCCCGGGACCCACCTGACTTGACCTTGCCGTTGGTGGAGATGGCCGAGATGGAGAGGCCTGTGATGGAGGTCACCATGACGGAGAGCAGGATGATGACCCAGGTCAGCACTGTGGGGAGGGAGCCCCAGAGCTCATTGGGGTTCCCAGGCGAGGAGCTCTGGGGGGACCTGAATCCACCTACTACTCAGTGCCACCCAAGTCACTTCCCTCCTGAGTCTTGGTTTTGTCATCTGAAGAATGGGTCTCTACTTCCGGGCATATTCTGACTAGTCAGGGAGCTCAGGATCCACAGGGAGGGAGTGCTACGTAGGTAAGGGAAGGCACTTTAAGGAAGTGATCGATACCACTTGATGAGCACCTCTGGGTGCCAAATCCTAGGCTGCTCTTCCTGCACCCTATAAACCCCGCAGTGGCTCTGCAGCAGGTACTACAATCAGCTCCATTTTACTAATAAGGAGACCAAGGCTCGGAGAGGTTAAGAAACTTGCCCAAGATCACACAGAACTAGCTTCCGAACCTCTGTCTTCCAAAGGCAACCCTGGATCTGCGTGCTGTGCTGTAGAAATTGGCTCAGAGAGGTTAAGTGACTCCCTGAGGCCGGGCAGGGTGAGCCCTGGGACGGCTGGCTGCAGGTCTGTTGAGTCTGTGCCATGCCATCCCCACTTTGGTCCCTGAAGGGGTCCAAGGCTGTGCCAAGGAGGAGCATGCCTGGCCTGTGGTCTCTGCAGCACAAGTTCAAGCCTGCTCCCAAGGGGCCTGGGAGGTGGAGGACCAGGACTCCCTCAGGGTCCTTTTCCCTGAGGGGCACTCACCAATGCCCGCCTGCGCTGTAATCCAGGGGAGCCGCAGGTAGAGGATCACACCCCAGATGTTGAGCATGCAGCGGATCTGAGAGGAGAGTGAGGTCAGAGGACCTCGGGGAGCTGATACCCCAAGGCCCAACACACGGATCCCTGTCTCCGGTCATGGCATGGCCCTGGGCTGCTGGCTGCAGGACACCTGCGTCCCTCCTGTGCTTTTCCCACTCAGCAAATTCAGTGGGGCAGAGGGGCAGGAGGGGACATCCACCTTCCTCTTGCCCACCCCTGTCCCCTGCCCATCAGGGCCTGAACTGGGCTACAGCGTGATTGCCGCCCGCCTATCCCCAGCCCAGGAGCGTGTGCCCGCCAGCCCAGCCTTGGCCCCAGTGGCCAGCTCTTGGCCCAGGATTGACGTTCCAGGCAAGCCAGCAAATGCAGGCTTGAATTGCTTCCCGCTCACAACAGAAATCAAAGCTCCTGCTGCAGTGACCTCCGCTTCGAAATTTAAAGCCCAGCCAGAGGCCCCCGTGGAGGCCCAAGTTCCAGGTGGGAGCGCCTGGTACGTCTTCGGTCCACCAGGTTGCAGGGCAGGTAGAGGCATGCGGTTTGCACAACTGGGGAGATTTCCCAGGTCCTTGGTCTGCTCTGAGATGCTAAAGAGGACCACACCAGGCTCTGGCCGACCCAGCTCAGGAGGGAGACCCAGGCTCTGAACGCCTCTCTGGGGTCGGAGGAGGGCTTGGGGTTTAGATGGCGAAAGAGAGTCACAGCAGGTGACAGTGGGCAGAGTTAAGAGGAGAACCTGGCCTGCCGCCCCCAGAGCCAGGCCAGAACTTTCTCCTGTGGACCCCGTGTGGTCCCCTCTGCAGAGCCCATAGTGTCCCCCAAGGCAGAGTCAACGTGGTTATTTTGCATCTGCAGATTGACTTGTGCTGTAAACTACAGCAACCTTTCCTTCCTCCTCAGGAAGGGGAGTGGGAAAAAATCATAACACAAAACCCACGATTGTGGCCTGTGTATGTGCTGCCATCTGGTGGCGGTTGGGGACACAGTTTTTTTCCTACTAACTCCCACAGGCATTGATCACATTCTCATTTAAGGCTCATTTCACAGATGAGGAAACTGAGGCACAGTGGTTAAGTAACTTGCCCAAGGCCACACGACTACTGTGGCCAAGTATAGATCTGGGTCTCAGGACCTGGGACAGAAATGGGGGAGGAAAACCCAGAGAAAAACTGAGGTCACTGTCCTGATAGGGAAACTGAGCTCCAGGCTGGGCCCTGGGTCTGCTGCCACTCACATGTGAGGCCCAGAGCTCCGCCCTCAGCCTCACCCCACTCACCATCACGCCCTTGACCCAGCCGAAGCGCACGGGCTCCCCGGGGCTCTTGTCACTCTTGGTGCCAGCCTCGTCCTCCACCAGCCCGTCCGTCATCTCATGGCTGGGCCGGCTGTCGAAGGCCAGGGCATGCAGGTGGCTGCCCTCCTGCTGGGAGCCCAGAGCCCACAGGTCAGGCGGGCAGGGTGCTGCACCACCACGCCACGTGTCACAGGCCAGCAGCCCCCAGCACGGCCTCACTGCACACAGAGCTGCTCCCCGGATTTTACAAAGCTCCAAACAGAGAGGAGCCACCAGCCCTGGAAGCCCTGGACGCGCCTGACAGTGGCACCTCCTCTCCGCTGGGGAGCAGTGGCCTTGGGGCAGAGCAGGCTGCACACAGCCTAGGGGTGGGCTGGGCTACTGTCACCCCAGGGAGGTAAAACTGCTTGTCCAGGGTGCACACGGTGCCCGGGCAGCCCGGCCCCTGCCCGGGTGTGGTAGGTCCCCCAGCTTGTGCCCCCTCTGGCAGCTCTTCTCTGGGCTTTTCTTCCCAGCCCCCCTCAGAGGCCCTGCATGGGACAATGGGGCCTCCACCCCGGGGGCCAGGATGGAGGTTTGCTCTGGGGACAGAAGGCATCCGGCAAGTTGAGCAAGTCTCAGCCCAGAACCAGAGTGATTCTGCCCAATTGTCAGATGGGAAAAAGGACACCCCACAGGGATGGACAGCCCAGCTCCCAGCCCTCCACCCTTCCCTGTCCCACCTCCCAGGCTGCACAACCTCCCTCTGAGTGCCTCCAGGGACTGGAAGCCCATTTCCTCCCTAGGCAGCCTGCCCTTCTTTCGGTGGCCAGTGACTAGACAAGATGAATTAGAATATGCACCCGGAGCTTCACCACCCGCCTCTCTCCCACTATTTCTTTTGGACCTCTCTGACTTTGAGGAAGACACTTATCCTTCCCCACAGCACAGGTGACAGAACTGAGGCTCAGAGATGTTAGGTAACTGGGTCAAGGTCACACAGCAGGGAAGTGGCTCATCTTCTGAGAGACAGCCCTTACCTTGAGGAAGGAGTGCAGGTCGGCCAGTGTGGGCCGGACCTTCCGGGGCTGCCCGGGCAGGGCACTGTCAGCATAGTGCTCATAGGCAGGGACCGCATCCATGGTGTTGTAGCCGAAGGTGCGCATGTGGAAAGTACTGCCATGGGTCAGGTGGCTGGGGTGGCTAGTGTCATAGGCTGCTGGTGGCAGGGGCTCATCGCCCCCCAGAAGTGTGCTGATGGTGAAGCGTCCTCTGCACAGAGCAGGGTCCCCGGACGTCTCCGTGGTGGGCAGTTGGGCCATTGTGGCTCTGGGTCTCAGGGAGGGGTCCAGGGTCGGCAAGGACAAACAGGGTGGCTTTATAGGCTGGGCCGTGGCAGGGGGAGGGCGGGGAGGTTGGCTCAAACCGCCCTCGGCTGGCCAGCAGGGTCCCCAGACAGGGTGGGAGGTGGAGCACGTGCCCACTGCCGCCCCGGCCACCATTCCACCATGGACACAGGGCCCCGCCCCAGACCAGCAGGACGGGGCGACCCAGAGACACCCACTGAGTCTTGGGGCAGCTCTTTGGAGTCTGGGGGCACTGAGATCCTCAGCCAGGACCCAGGAAGGAGCAAGCAACCACCAAAGAGGACCCTGGGGGGACCTAGAGATGGCCTGGGGGTCTGAGAATCCTACCAAGCAGGCTCACAAACCTCTCGTTGTGGGACGTGGTATTTATTTTGATTTATTTAGTATCCTTAATACATGAGTTGGAACATTTAAGATGAATGTGAGACGGAAGCTTCCCTGCTCCAAATGTCATCCGCCACGTCTTTGTCCTTCCACAGACGGCTTAGCATCTAGAAATCATTATGTGCAAGCAGCCCCACAACCTGCAGCCACCAGTAGACACATGCGCCCTGAGGGCTTGGGGCTGGTCAGCATCAACCACAGAGGCACACTTCCCTGGGTGCTGCCTGCAGGGCACAGGTGGGAGCCGGAGAGCCAGCACTTGCCTCCCCAAAGCCTCCACACAAGCTCCCGCTCCCCAGGGGGGAGGTGCGCCAGGCCTGGGTCCAGTTTTGCCGGTCCCCTGAGGCCACACCTTAGATGCACATTGACAACAGAAGCAAGCCCTGGTCACCAGGGACACCTGAGGCCCGCCGCCGCGGGGGGACAGTGGTTGAATTTGAGCTGCAGGGGTTTGAAAGAGGTGGATCAGGGTTTTAAGAGATGAGATGAGTGGAGGCTTGGTGTGTCCCCAGAAATGAAGGACTTATTTCTCCAGCTGCTGCAGGACGGTCCACCCCACTGCTTCCCCTCCCCAGTGGCTACGTTTCCTCCAAGAGGAGGGCATCCAGTGGCTGACGGATGTGGGGCAGAAAGGTCTGGCTCCCTGCCCTGGTTCCCTCCAGGACACCCAGCTCCCCTCAGGTCGGCTGAGGCATGGCGTCTACACCGCAGCCCGCTTCTCCTCTGCCTGGTGCTACTTCCCTCCTTCTGCTCACAGACCTGACCCTAGAGCCCTCCCTGGTGGGGGCCCTGATCTCGACCTGTCTCTGCCTGCTTCTGAAGTGGGGGGGCTCACTGCTCCCAAGAAAACCGTTGATCTTTTTTCACCTCTCCAACAAACCCTTACTGACCATCCTCATGGGCGGAGGTGGGAGCCTGGGACATGGACGGGGCACTGTTCTGCGGAGTTAGTGCAGGCACTGGACATGGACATGGTCCAAGCCCAGCTGTGCTGCTAGCACAGCAATGTGACAGGCCCTGGAGGAGGGTCAGGGTGGGGACAGCCAGGGAAGGCTTCCTGGAGGAGGGGGCCCCTGACCTGAGGATGAGCTGATCCTACCAGAGACAGGAGACAGAGGGAGGCCAGAAGGCTACTGCCTGCTCTGTCACCTGAGCTCTCTTCATACTCAGGCTCCATTCATCCCCCGGAGAAGACAGAGGGACACGCTTTCCTTCCCTTCCTCGCCCTGCTCCCAGGGACTCTGAGCCCCATGAGCTGCATGAACTGATGGGAACTGGCTCGTGCTGCCCCTTGGTGCTGGGCCAGAGAGGCGCAGGACGGGCACGCCTGGCCGTGGGGCAGGCAGAAGGGGCAGGTGGGCGTGCTGGGACTATGTTGGAGTCACTGGGTCAGGGGGTGGTCACTCTGCAGGATGAGGATCCGGAGGCCCACAGAATCGCAGAGGAGTGCACACACCTTGGTGCATTTTCTAGCAAGTGTTCATCCAGCTCGCTAGAGGGACCTGGCCTGTTGTGTTCGGTGACATTCCCGGCGACTAGACCAGCTCCATAAATGCATGTTGAATATAATGAGGCGACCCAGGGCCAAGGAGGCCAAGGGCAGCTGCTGTGGACACCAAGGGCTGAGAGAATCACCCCAAGGGGGGTCATACAAAGGCTCCGCTGGTCCCCTGGCCCGGGACCCTGCCTCAAGTTGGCCGTTACGAGGTGAGCGCAGAAAACCCAGACCAGACCCCATGACACCAGGTTCCGAGCGCTGTGCGCCTTTTTGCAAAGTTCATGTTCACCACATTGATGTTCGAGACGAAGCTTCCTGGTTCTTGGCAACACCTAGGCTCACCCACCCTCCTTCCCTGGACTTCCAGCCCTCCCTCTTCAGGACTGTCCCCAGCTCCATGCTAGCAGCGGAAGGGCTAAGGGCCAGAAAGCAAAGATTCCAGGCCAAGGACTCCAGGCTCCGTCAATTTTGTACCTTCTGGGCAGGCTCCACCCTGGTCTGGGGGGGAAGGACTTGTGGGTCCCTTGCCTGCTGGTTCTCGTTCCCTCCCTTGGTGCTGGCAGGGCGTTGATGGGGAGCAGATCTTATCGCCCTGGGGCCCTTAAACTGCCATTGACCTGCAGAAATCACAGCTTCCCAGCATCCCCCACACCATTCCCACACGCCCGCCCCTGGGCAGCTGTGGAAAATTCCTGATTAAGATCTCATGAAAGGATGTGGCCAGGGCTGGTTTCCCGCAGCCCTGGGGTAGGGGCAGAGGAAGAGACCACGAATTTGCTGGGTGACCTTGGGCAAGACATTTCCTCCTCCCTTGGAAAAAACCTGGTGTGGGATCTCAGCCCTGCAGGGAGTGGGTGCTGCTGGGAGAAGCTTTTCCTGCCCCTCTACATTTCCTGGGGTGGGAGGGGTTTAAGCAGAAACCCTCAAGGGGCTTTCTGACACCTTGGCCCAAACCACAGGACCCACCAAGGAAGGAGATTCTTTTTTTTTTTTTTTTTGGTACCAGGAATTGAACCCACAGGTGCTTAGCCCCTGAGCCACATCCCCAGCCCATTTTTAAATTTTGAGAAAGGGTCTCACTAAGTTGCTTAGAGCCTCCTCACTAAGTTGCTGAGGCTGGCTTTGAACCTGTGATCCTCCTGCCTCTAGAGCCACTGGGATTATAGGCTTCCCCGCTGTGCCCAGTTTAAGAAGGGGATTCTTGTGTTTGAATAGAATTTAACTGATATGAGAAATGCTCACAAAGGTGCTCTTCTTGATGGAGAGGGGCTGGGGGCACTGTGCTAGGTCACACACGGTGCCAGCCTTGCAGAATTCAGCTTCCAGGAGACCCTACAGGCCAGGTGGGCCCTGGAGCCCTCAGGGTCTGAGACTCCTCAAGTCCTAAGCAAAGCCCTGGGATTGGCTGAAGGTAGTCAGTTTCTGGGTGACACTGAGCAAGTCATTTGATCTAGGTGAGCTTCTGCTGCAGCAAACCAGAAGTGACACCTTCACAGAGTGCCAGGCATCTCCTACCCACCAGCATCTTCCTTCCCCTGGCTGAGTGACATGGGGCCCCTCACCTCCCTTGGTTCTCAAAAGGAGAACAGGGCAACCAAGGACCCAAAGACTCAGTGGTCAGGGAAATCCCTAGAAGTGACCAGCCCAGAGGCAGGACTGGGGCGAGCCCAGGACGACCTGCTGCAGCATCACAACCTCTGGGCCTCCTTTATCATGCCCCTTCTGTATACAGGCCCTGGCTCTTACTGCGGAGCCTGACAGACCAGCAAGACCATGCAACTGGCCAGCAGAGAGGGAAGCCAGGAGGGGACACAGGGCAAGGGGGAAGGAGGCTGGGGCCAGGCACGGTCCTGAGGGAAAGCCGTGGTGGGACTGGAGCGCCCAGTGCCCTGGGGAGGAGGGAAGAAATGGCAGGACACAAGGCTGAAAGGGGTCTGGTTGTTTCTTCATTATGCCATATTTATTGAGTGCCTACTGCATACCATGCCCCACATTAGGCAAAGAAGGCACCACAGGGAACAAGACAGACCCTGCCCGCTGGGAGCTCACACTCTAGTGGGAGAGACAGACAATAAATAGACGCCTCTTATGATACGTTTAGTGATGATTGCTATTAAGAAGACAAAGCTGCTTCTTAGGAGGAGCATTAGGCCCCTCTGAGGGTGGAAAATGAGAGCTGAGCTCCTACAGTGAGGAGGTGTCACCCAAAAAGCATGGCATGTGCCACAGGGCTTTGGACTGGGCCCTGGGCAGGAGTGTCTTGGACTTCAGGAAGAGCACTGAGGACCCTGTGACTGGAGTGGGGACCAGGGAGATGGGTTTCAGACTCAGAAGAGGGGTCAGTGGCTCACAGGGCAGGGTGAGGAGTTTCATACTGTTGAGTGATTTTTCTGTCAGGAAGCCACTGACCCAGGGAGACCAGTTAGGGGCCACTGCAGGTGTGCAGTGGTGGGGGCCAGGCCGTGGCTCTGGGGGGCCAGATGGCAAGGTCTATCCTGAGGGCAGGGACAGACCAGCACACAGACTCCAGGGGGCAGGGGTTTGTGGGGAGCAGGGAGCTGGGAGAACAATGGTGATACTGTTTCCAAGTAGGAATCCCTGAGGAAGGGCCTTGGCTGTCAGGGGTGAGCTCAGCTTTGCCCTGGGGTGCAGGCCCCATCTGCTTTTGGAAAGCTGGAGGGGCGCAGTGGTGTGGTAAGCGGTCGAGTCTGAAGAAACAGGGCCCTGGAGACGGCCGGAGGCTGCAGCAACAGCCAGGCAGGAACGGCTGGCCCGCTGAGCCGGACCTCCTCAGTTGCACTTGGACTTGGGACCCTACCCTGGAGACCCAGTGTGCCTAGTGGACGGGAGGGGAGCAGGTGTGGGTATTTTAAAGCCCCTGTGATTCTGAGGAGCAGCGGGACTGGGGTCCAGTGGGTGACAGAGATGCACCATGCCCACAAGCATGCCACCCCACCCGTCCTGTGTCCTTGCTCGCGACCAGGTCCCACGAGGCTCGCCTGGAGAGGATGGGTATGATGCAACCCTGGTGTCGTGAAATAGCCGGGTAAGAGGATGCGCTGCTCGTCGGCCTGATTCACAACACCAGCTGCAGCAGCCATACCAGAACGCGCCGGC